TTAATCACCTAAAACTGGGATGCATTGAAAGTAGATGCGTAATGTAGCTAACCAAACAGATTAACCTTTCTGGGTCTTATATTAAACTTTATGAAAGTTTCTTGACGAGACTTTTAGCTTTCTTTACGTTTAAGGTGCGGGCAGTCTGGGTGATGTCGTCATGGAATTCTTATGCTATCACTACAAAGAACTACATACCATTAATTTACGGGGTTTCCACAGCTCACAGCATGTGCTATTAACAACACGCTTTCTGAGTAGGCGATTAGGGATAAAGCACGAAAGGGTATGAGGGATTGTCAGTTACAGACTACATCTTTTCAATCTGTACAGTGTCTTTTCTACATTGGGGGGCATTGGGTGGTGAAACGCCTTCTGTCTATTCGACTAGATCTCCCAGCCTGACTCGTCTACCAGTATGCTTGCCAAATGCACTTTGGATGACGACTGTCGTCTTTTAGCCTACTATGCACAATAGACCCGTAATCTGAATAACTATCCCGGTGCCAGATTAATAACTAAAAATTCATTGTTACAAATTTATGACCTTCAGCCCTTTAGTGGGCCTGTTTATTTTTCAGCTAATTGTCAACACCCCTACTACTTGGTATGCCATGTCATATGAATTGCTTAGTTTTAAGCTAACTAAACAAACAAGTCAGTTATTTACAAGGATGTCAATATAAGTATTTTTCACGTAGAAGAGTTAAGCTTTCCTCCAGAGTTATTGGTCTTGAAGAGATATTTCTAAATGACTAACTCCTTACTGTAAAAGGAAAGTTATGAGCTCGTTAACTAGTGAGTATGAGATAAAAATAACATTGATACGTGGCTAACTGTTATTATGTACACGTGTGCTAACCATTTATCCTGATATGCCGTAACTTGGCGTCCAGAATACATCTAGCAATGCCTCAAAGACTGATGGTAGCGCAATAGACTCACCACTGTTCAAGAGCATATCTAGTTGAATGGAATGGTGAGAGATGCAAAAACACGGTACTATGCTATCAATACTATCCAGTATCTTAATAAAATTGCCTGAGATGCATTCATTTCGCTCCAGCCATAGAGGTAAACGAACTGAATAGCCCGGAGTTTGTATGGTTTCTCCACTGCTGTATTTTAATTTTCTGCTGCCGAACAAGCTCTGATAGTCTTACTTGTTAAGTTCGCCATCCTTGCACCATTGACAGTTATAATACAACCGTGGCATATTTCTATTAGTGCTGCAGAGTTTATGAATCAAGTGATGTGATGAAAGTTGACTTAGAGGCATCATTCAGCTGTTTTTGGCGTTAACGTGTACAGGAATATGATCCAGATTCACATCATAAAATGATTTTACGGAATGATACTCTAACACAGTTCCAAAATCCTATTCTAATAGCCAGACCCAAACTATCCATTGGGGACTGTATGCATTCAGCAGGGGACTGCTTCAGTTTTTAATCATTCTTTCAAATAAGTGATTTATGAATTTACGTTCTTCGCAGTCTTCGAAACTACACATAATTTGATTTTTAGATCCAGCAGTCTCCAGGCGGTTTTTAAGGTAGGGAATGTGACTGAAATTCTTTTGTTTATTTCTAACGTTGAAAATTCAGGTTAGTTTACAACATACCGGTACATTCCACGCGCCGATGCAGGACTGACCTATTGCGCGAGCAAACTTGCAAACAGTTTTTCTACTACATGGTACTGTTTGCCAAAATCCTTTGAGAGAGATATTTGCGAGAGATTACTCAGGCCATATCAGCCTCGAAGATATAGGCTCCAGATTATCCCCTGCCAAACTTTTGACCTCTTCACACCCTTAATTCCGAAAAGGTTATGCACATGCGTGTGGTGTATTTACTCTAGTGCTGAGCTGCACTTTACATTTTGATAGATATTTTTGATGATTTTCATGCATCCTGAGTTCTATGATGGAATTTTTCATCCAATACGCGAAATTCTTAGCTGGCAGTGCATTTCCTTCCCAGCAGGCGTCTCAATACATTGTGAGGTCATTTAAATACAGTAACAAACCAGTTATCTACAAGTTATGTCAATGTGCATTATGGTTAGAATATTGGAGAAAGTAATGATAAATTAATAATTCATATTCAGTAGTGTGGTTTTTTCTCTGAAGAGCAGCATGTCTTCGAGACTGGAATCTCTTGTAATGCTGGTATTTTGAAATGCATCGAAAGTTGTGAGGCCAAACCACGCTAAAGACTGGTTGAGACTCTGAGCTCTGAAATTCGTTTTTAGTGAATAAGTAGTAGGGAACGAGAACTATTATGGTTGTTCCCTTGAGTTCCTAGGGGGACATAGGGCTTCAACAACATACTTCCGGTTTGTCCTATTTTCTGCTGTCCTCTCCAGCTGGATCCACGATTGAGCATAATTTCCCACCTCCTTTTCTCACGATCTCCTCCATATCATCCTCAGACAACCCACTCGTCACTTCCCAATTGGATTCTTTCAAAGCGATGGCGTGACGCGTGGCATTACTAGACATTCTCCTTAGTGTGTACCCACTCCTTCTCAATTTTCCCTTATATATCTGTAAGACCTATTTGGGTAGCATTATACATTGCAAATGAACTTTGTCAGCCTAGGGCTTATAGTCTCCCATTGTATTTCCCTTATGAATGCATATATTAATGATATATGGCATTTACGTATTTCATTACACTTTAATGATTCACCTTAGCACCTTTACTTTTCTAAAACAGCTTACTATCCCTTGTAAACGGTGTACTTACCTCAATATTGGTTGGTTATCGTATGCCTACAACTACGGGTTGAAAACGAAACGAAGTCGATTTTCCTGCGCAACCTGGAGGACTACTGTTTAATTGAATAATGATACGACATGGGTAAGACAATGAGTGTATTTATATATATATATATCAAATATTTAGCTGTTCAAACATTAACTTGTAGACAATCTACAATTTGACATTACATCACACTTGATCGTGCCTGTAAAAATGGCATGCATTTTCATGTAAATTTATATTTATATGAAAATATAAATTATTATTATTACTAGTTTGTTCCCATATTTTCTTGTTGTTATTTCTTTCTGGCCATTTCGCCAACAATACAGAGCAAAGGCAGCTCTGGAAAGAAGTCTGCAACAGGTTGTTGGAGATGCTTTTCGTAACGCGCGGTGTAAGTTTCTGTTCCATACAGAGGAATTGGCTTCACAGTTGTGTTGAAAATCTGAATTTTGTTCTTTGTGCCGTGGAGTGAAGGATATTTCGGAAATTCTTCCAGATTCGTGGAGGTGTACCTTGACCTTCCTATTCTGGCCAGCTTTGACATCTTCATCCGTTCCGACTGCCTGTGGTTGAAACCGTGCTTCCTGGCCAGATAAGTGAAAGAGGCAACCTCTGTCAAATCCCTCCCGACAATGACGGCTGGCGCAGTTCGTTGTTGTTGGTTATCTTCACCACCTCCACCTTCTATATGTTCACCTGGAGACCTGTCTTCGCTGCCTGTCTCGCCTCTTCAGCCAGTTTTCAGGCTTCCACCTGCCTGCAAGTCTCCAAGTTTGTGTGATATCAGACATAAATCATCCACTCGCGAAATCCAGATCTCCTAGAGTCTTAATCCCATCATTGGTCAGTGCAGTGTATCCCTATCTTTTCACTCCCCAAGAACCGCGTGCCACACAATCCAGCCTACCACAATTAAGCATATCATCGGAGATAGCTGATAGGTAGCCAGCTTGTCTTACTACTATGTTCACTTCAGTAGAAGGCTTCACTGAGTTTTCCATTGTGAGTCGCCTGGCACATTGCATTATCATATATCGAGCTGTCGAATGAGGTTGATAAAGATTTTGGGCATTGCGCACCGTAGTGTTGAATTAGTTTCCAATTACTTCTCCGTGAACACTGCGGATCGAAGGTCTTTTCAAAGCCAATCAGACTGAGATGGAAGTTTGACTGCCATTCTATGCTTTGTTCTGTGGTGCGTAGAGTTGCCATTTGATCAGCACATGGTTTGGGTTTCCTGAATCCAGCTTGTACCGGTTGGTGGGGTGGAGTTCTACATACAGTGCATCTTGTTTTCTCTCCAAGACGGCGTAATTTAATATTTTGCTTGGCGTGGACTAGTGCATTCCACGTCAGTCATTTCTTGCAGAGGCGTAACTGAGTCGCCCCTCTTTGTTAGCTTGACAAGGTAAGCAGCCTTTCTTCCAGTCCACGCGTAGAAACCACTCCTTCCTCCCAAACCTTTTGTGATAATGGCGTGAGCACATCTGCCACAGTCTCTGTGTCCATTTTCAGTGCTTGACTGGACTGGACTTCAGTAGCTTGAACACATTTGGGAGTTCTGATTTGGTTGGAGGATTGATGTCTACCGACAGGCAGTTCTATGCGTTCTATTGGTGGTGGTGGCATTTGTGGGCGAGTTGCAGGAGACGATCGGTTCAAAAATCCTTTGAAGTGATCAGCCGGTTGTTTCATTTGTTCCTCCTCACCGGTATTAAGGTTCCCTTGACCATCTTTTATGGGTTTCACATGCATTAATATTTTCTTAGATAGAGACCTGGTTATCTGGTATGACGCCCCATAATAGAATAACTTAGTTCCTGATAGAACACAGTGATACTGTGCTATTCGCTCATTAATGGTGTTTTGATCATGAATCATTGCTCGCTGTTTTGACTACCTTGAAATGAAGTAGGCTGGGCTTAAAAGTGTAAATAATACAGTATCAACGTAATCCCCGGGTTGGAAAACAACGCAAAATTTTCGTTATTTCCATACTCGTGATACAGTCGGACAGTTATTACAGTCTCACTTGTCGTACCTTAAATGATGGCTTAAGTGTTAGTCCCTCAGTTTTCCTTTCAGGATATTAAGAAAAAGAATAATATGTATAGGTAATTCAGATTCATTCTTTAGGTTAACATCTTGAAATTACCTTGGTTAGTAGCAGTATCGGCTATTTCATTGAATGATTTGGATGACGAATTGAAGAAACGAAGAGATACACTCTACGGAGATTGAAATGAGTCATCAAATCTACTACACCATACTCTCGAAGATTGAATATATTTGTTAAAATGTTTTAATTTTTTAACGACAACTTTGTTAAAATGTGTACCTTATTTCGGTTGAATTATGTAATTTAGCGTGAATAGCATGGTGAGTGTATTCTCCTCTTGATGTCTGTCATCTTATATCCCCTTGTCTTTATGTTCATACCTTCTATGTATTTACTAATATAAATGCACATGTGTCCAACATACTGGATGCTATATTGTCGGTTTAGTTACAATGGACGTATATATACGTCCATGACATTTTCTGAATTTGTTATGCCTTTTGTAAAATTTTACACAGGTACATTAACATAGTTTTATCTGCCAAACAGAGCTTTTGGAGGGGTAGATATTTAACATTAGTGACCTAATGTTAAACGTATATACGTTGCATATGCATATGCATCCACATGGGCCAAGCTTTGACGGTAGGATATTGGCAATCTCACTTTTTTTTGACATTTATTCTTATTTTAATAGGAATATAGAGTGATTGCCCATTACAGTCCCTTATGATTCCTTTTTTCTCTCTTCTGTACCTCTGTGTGTTATATGTGGTATGGCAACTTGAACCGCCTGTCTCTTCTGCAAGCTTTTCTGCTGAAACTCAGCCAGTCACCCAGTGGTTTTTAAATGCTGGAGGTACGACTGGGGTAGTTTCACAGTTCATCTCCTCTCTGAAGAAGTTTTTTCGAATCATTTTAAGTTTCAAGCATAATTGGTTAGACTTCACATTATTTACTGTTAAGTGGTACTAGTGAGTGTGAGAAGGCAACAACTTTGTGTTGATGAGCCTAATTTATCAGTTTTGAAAAACATTTGCTTACACTTATATGGAATTGGGTCTTTGTTAAAAAAATAAATGAGGAAATCGGCAACAGCCAGATGACCTTTAGTCAGTCAGGTCGTTCAGCACTACAAATGGACGCTCTTCGTAATCTTCGTTCCAAGTTTCACCCTAACCTTAATCATAGCCATACCTTGGACCTACCCTGACCTTAACCCTGCATCAGGATGAAACCTGCAACGACGATTATGAAAAGCATCCTGTTGTAATGCTGAGAGACCTGAATGGTTTAAGTTCATTTGACTGTGGTATCTATTCTTCACTGTTGCCAGGAAATTTATCAACTAGGGAGTAATTTCTACGGCTTATCCAATTTCCTGAGTACGTTCTCAATAGTTTATACCGTGAGACACGACAAAGTGACTTGCAAATTAGTCTTTATAATGGTCAGTAAGCAGTTTATTCAGGTACACGAAGTTTCATTGATGGGCTGTGAGAACATTATCCTTGTATTTCGACTTCCTTAGTAAATTGCTGTAATTTATTCAATCACTCATCAGTTTTCGTTTCAATTACTGCTTAATGCTTCTTACTGGTTCCTTGCTACTTTACTTACCCAAGAGCTATTTCTGTAAGTCCTATAGTTTTTCCGGTGTTACTTTCCAACTTTAGTTGAAGGAAGTGTTGTCAACAACTAAGTACTAAAATTGACAGTGCTTTCTTGTTAAGTTAGAGGCGCCTGGTGTATGCCAACACGCCACACTGAATATGCAAACTAGAATACAAATATTAAATTCAGTCATCACATATCTTGACATGCTTCACTGGCTGCAGTGAAATGAAGCTAAGCAGTGTCAGAAGGTCATTTCACAAAAGTAACAAACTAAATCAGCAACTGTTATCGTTGGGTAGTATAGGTGATATTACGACGGTTTTGTTTTCAACTGGATATGATAACATGTATTTATTTGTGAACTTTCACGTACTTTTTTGGATCTATTGTTGTATTACGATAAATTTTGTAGTATATTGAATTGGTTATAATTAACTGTTTCCCTCTTTACGGTATTGATAATTATAGTTTAAAAAATATATCTACCGAAACCCTTTTAATTCACATAAATACGTTTTAATCTTGACGGAAGGTGGGTAAATTTCACTTTACTGTACTACCGCCGTAGATTTTTCATAGTGACACCTAGTTGGTTTTAGCAGCATGAAACGTATTTTTACCACTTTTTATCTACCGACAATTGGAAAATAAGGAGTGGTACTTTTTGTTACGTCTCATATTTTCTTACTTGTCTCTTTCAGTATTTTCTACATATCTGAATTATATTTTAGGTGCATTGCGTTTACAGATCAGTAATCGTCTTATCAGTGATCTTTCTTAACGATATTTATTTGATATGTGGAGCTCATTCTTGGAAATCTACCGAATCACTGTCAGTAGCCAATTCATCTGATGTAGTTCCTCATGATGCAGATAGTTCTCGACTGGGTTATATCAAAGTGGGGTTAGCAGCAGCCTTCTTTTTTACTGTACTTGTATCATGCGGTTTACCCGTTTTATTGATAGACTATTTGAAAGAACGGAATAATTTGTCACCCAACAACAAAAACAGAAGATTTCATTTAGGCAGAGTACAGCAGAATGAGTCAAATCAAATCAAAATAGAAGACCAAGACGATGATGAGGCAGAAGATGTTGAATTTCAATACTGTGACCTCAATTTGTCTCCGAATGCAGAAGAAAAGTATGGAAATTGTTTAAACGATGGACAATTTTCAGAAAATAAGGAAGCCGATACTTCATTAAACCGAATTTCCCTCCAACATCAGAATTCACTGGAATCTGAAGTTCCATCCACTCCTGGTCAGAGTCCGAATCCGGCTCTATTAAGTGGAGATCAATTTGAGAACAGAGATTTGCTTACTGGCCAGGTGGTTCATTCTGAAAGAAATTGGCCACATTCATTCAGAATTCAAGATCGCATACGTGGACGAAATTTAAATGATCCCTCTTTTATAGCAAGTCAAAGAGCTTACCAAAAACAGGGGAAGCAAAAGTTTTTTCGAAGAGTTATTTCTTCAAGAGCATCGCGTAAAGAAACATTACAAATTTGGTTTAGTCGGTGTAACTGTTTCGCTGCAGGTGTTTTTTTATCTTCAGGTTAGCAACATAGATATTCGTTCATTTGTACGTGTTTATGAGTGAAATTTATGTTTAGTTCTTATAAGTTGTTTTATGGAAACATACTTGAATCATTTATATTGAACTTGTAGAAACCAACTAGTTTCTGAATGTTCCATTTCGTATATTACTGTCTTTGTAGACAATATATCAGAATGTCTTAAATTCTAATGATATTAATCCCTTTGGCATCCGGATGAATTAAATAATGATATCGAACAAACCTTGAATTGCTAATCTATTTCTGTATTTAAGTTTCTGTTTTTGATACTTATGGGCTACTGCACAGAAATTGCCTAATTCACTTACACATACTACCATTCGTCTTCGAACTTCCCCACTAAGCAGTTACAAAAGCTGTGGATGAAGTCTTAGTATATACACAAAAGGCTGTCAATTTGCATCACTGCTGGTGCTAACGTAATACTCAGCTACTTGCAAAAAAGTTTGCAAACTTTACTCAGCGAATATTTGAAACTATAAGTACTTGGGAACCAGCTGCATCTATTGTATGAGAATTGATAATACCGCCTAGCCGCCCAAATATTGGTAGATGGGGGTAGATCGAAGTCTGTGACTTAATGGTTGTAAGTCGAGCGAGTAGACCATTGAACCATAGCGTGTGTATTGTGCAGTAGTCAGTCCTGTTTTACTTTACAGCTATGAGACAGAGCCGTTGAAAGTGAGAGATGTGAAACAAACGCAGGTTTATGTTAAAGATGTCCTCGCCTAAATTCTGGCGTTAAGCTGAGCAGCATGATAAGATTATGCGTGGTGATAGGTAAGGAATGTTAATGCACTAATAAAGTTGGGAGTCTTTGTTGACTGAAGTGGTTAAGACACTTGTTACTCATCTGGAGCCACTGCCTTCCTTGATAATCGACGTCAACGGAAGTAATATTAGATTTAGAGAAGTTTACGAATAATAGGACCAAAATGTTAAGAATCCTTGCAGTTATTGATTGTTAGCCTGAGTCACAGAAAGAGGCGTAGATGACCAGGTCAGACTTCGCAGAATGCCAAGAATCAATCTTTTCTGACTGCAAATAGCATGCCTAAATATCGTCCACAATGGTCCAGGTGTATCTACCTGGATTCTGATTGTTTTCACTCATCTCCATCTAATCACTCGCTCCCTCTTTCTGTTATAACTTTATTTTTGTTCTGTTTTAAGCGTGGTGTTTTGATGATGCTGATGTACATTTGTACAAACTTTCTCTAATTCACCAGTGATGAGTTTGCTAACGAACATACAGTGATTTCTTAACATATGCTCTTTTCACAACTCGCCATATTTGTTATTTTTTCATTTATCTTTATATATTTCCTGAGAAACTTCCATTCTATCAATTCTTAATATTTTCCCTAAAAATCTAGTGTATCTGTTGAAATCTTGTCTTTGAATAAATGTAAAGGCCGATAGGTTATGAGACTGATTATATTGTTGTTTGCCGTGTATGTTCGTCATCAACTATCATCATCCCGTGTGGCAATAATTAGTTGGGTCGTTAGGAGTTAACTGATGTAACTGGAAACCTCGATCCAGGCCACAGTTATGTTCATCTGTATTGTCCTGAAAGGATAATTTCTACCATTTACTGTTTGTCTCTTTTAGGTTAATTTGTATTCTGTATGTGTATTTGTTTTTGTGAAATGAACAAATAGACATCGCAACGTTTTTTTTTACTATTTTTTGTTCAGAGTAATATCATTCGGTAAGATTTAAGTTGTAAAGGCAGAAGGTAACCGGTCGATTAAGAAATATCTGCTGAACTGAGGATTATAGCGTAGTAGTAGTTAGTGCTCACTATTTTACCATGAAATATTTATAATAATATGTTTGATTTTGGTTATTTGTTTATAAATGCTGAATTTCTATTCATATACGTATTATCCCATGTTTTCCTTTTTTTTTAAAGGCTTTATGGAACTTTATCCTGATACTGAAGAAGCTATAACAGAAGCTAAACATCAATTAAATATAAAATCAGAATTTCCATTCGCTCCATTTTTAACTCTTGTTGGATTTTTTCTTGTATTAAGCATAGAACAAATTGTTTGGACAACAAAATCAAGACACTCGATATGTTGTCGAAGGAGAAATAGTAATAATAATAATAGTCAAACTCTACATCGTGATTTATTGCATTCAGTAAGCAATGATTACAATTTAGAGAAAAACAGAAATCACTACGTAGTTAATAATACTAGCAAAAATAACAACAGTAATAATAGTAATAATAATAACAATAATGATTCTGTTACTCCTGAATGTAGCAAATTATATCAGAATAACATGGGTTATACATCATCTAAACATGTTGTTGTGGGTAATGCTAAAAGACCATCTAAATTGTCTAATGCAACAAATTCATCCGAACTTACTACAATAGATCGTTCTCCTACATCGTCCACACATTCAGGTAATGATTTTCTCCTGGAATCTGGTAATGCTAGAATTGATCAAGTTGAAAATGTGAAGATTGAGCCTTGTAACGACGTCGACGACGACTATGATGATGATGGTGACAATCATAATCATCACCACCATTCACATACACATGATATAAAATTTGACGCCAAGTCGTTTGGATCAGTATTACGCATTATTCTGCTATTGTGTGCAATGTCTGTTCATTCAATATTTGAGGGTTTAGCTGTTGGTCTTCAGCCAACAGCACAACGTACACTTGCCTTATTCACCGCTATATTACTTCATAAAGTTATCATAGCTATTGGTATTGGTGTAAATTTAGCCACAAATTTGAATGAATCATCAACACCTGCAACTTCATCATCATCATCATCTCAAGCCAGGTCTTCTTATTGTCGTATGTTCATGTATCAATCTATTGGAACGTTAATTTTAGCTTTTTCTTCACCATTTGGCGTTCTTGTTGGTTATGGTTTAATGCAACAAAAACAGTCTGCTGTACTGACTATGTCAACCGCTATACTTCAAGGTTTAGCATGTGGAACATTCTTTTATGTTGTATTCTGTGAACTGCTACCAGTTGAATTCAAAGAAGGCGTTAAAGATAGAATGGGAAAATTTTTCTTTTTATTACTCGGATTTATGTTAGTTGCATTATATGCCTTTCTAATGCCTGAGTAAATATTATTTTGTATATTTTGTCAATACTCTTCTTCTTTATCATATTTATTACTTCTGTACGCTCAATATTATAACTTTTTAAATTAAGCTGTACATCTTTTTTTGTTTTGTTTTAGCCACACATGCCTTTATATATTTGGTTTTTAATGATCCGTCTATATTTTCCTCATTTTATTTATACTTTTTACCTGTCTGAATACATTTCTTTTACCAATAACAATAAGAGATAAGATGGCGGTGCTTTGATTTTCCCTTTTTTCTCAGATGAATCATGTTCATTCGTTTTTTTTATTAAACTGTGATTTTCTTGTTTTTATTGGGGTTGTAGAAAATTTCATCTTCTTCTATTAAGGTATTATGTCCAGTCAGTGTATCCAGACCACTAAGTATCTAATTAATTAACCAATTAAATGACTAATTAATACAATTAGGTATTTTATTTTACACACACACACACACTTTTGTGCTGTATTTTCAATCTCAATTAGTTTTCATGGTCCTTTCGTTTGATGTGTCACTCACTGCTTACTTTTTGTCATGTAACCTCTGGGTGTGTGGGTGTATGTGAATGAGTTTCTTAGGTAATATTAAGGTGGTGCCTTTGGTGTTCTTTATTTTCATGAATACTTTTGTTTTCTGGGATTAATCTGGTCACTCTTCCATGAATATTGTGAACAATAAATTATATACAAACCTAAGGTTCTTTTTATGAGGCTAATATGGAACAATACACCTTACCGATTCATCTTGTTTCACATACACACAATAGGAACGTAAACAGTCCTGATTAGATGTTGAAGATAGAAATCTTTGGGGGGAGATAAACAGTGTGTGTTTAGCTTTCATCTGATTAAATGATTCATGTTGGGGGTGAGATATCCAGTCGTTCTATTAATGGTCGAGTCTCGTAGCTCAGGAGTGCACTCTTTCCTACACAATCAATGAGGGTACTTGACCACCGTTATCTTGTATGCTATAAGCGTCGTAAAAGTGAGTTACCATATAAGCAATATATGAGTTAGGTAAGTTGGTTGGCAAAGTTACAAACCTTCATCAGCTTACCTGGGTGGGGTGGAGCATGTTTTACGCATGTCTACTCATGGTCTTCTAGGACGCTCAGTAAAATAAATTTATGCGCTTTATGGCAAAGGATAGCCAAAGAAACGTGTATTCTTAGCAGAAATTTCATCTAAGTGAAATTTGTAGATAATTTAATTGTTAGGTTTCTTAGCCTTTCGATTTATTTCTTGGTGGACTATATCACCAGCTAATATACCCGTTTGAGAGCCACTACAAATCAAAGAGAAACGGAGAATTGTGAATCTACAATGGTATGGATTTATTTATAATGAAGTTGGCTTACTTTGCAGATATGATTTTAACAGTTATTTCGAAAAATAGATTATGCAAAATTAGGCACATTTATTGAGAGAGAAAAATATGTATATGAAAAATGGTTTCTACTTCACATCACCTTAGAATAATTCAGTAAAACATCTTTATTTTATGAAATCAAGTGATCAGCATTGATTGGGATTTGGAACAACTGACACATTCAAGCGGAAATACATCATTTATTAAGTACAAAGTAAGTCAAATTGGTTGTGGTTACCGGATTAGATTTCGGAGATTTGACAACAATAACTGTCTGTATTCAAAGTCACTTCATGTATATATATATATATATATATATATATATATAGTTCCTAATCGGTCAGTTGCGCGGAAAAGTCACGTGAAAGTGGAGAAAGTTTGCGTGGTGAATAAAAGCCTTTCAGTATTGCAACATTATAGTCGAAACTTATGAAAATCAAATCGTTTAGCTTTATACAAACCAGTCCGTCATTCATTTCTGAAAAGCCCACAGTATTACCTTGAGAATCGACTTGCTTAATATCCAGCATATCATTGTAAAATTCAGTATTTTCTGTACAAACCATATATATTTGGATGTAAAGGTAGTTAGACAATGATAAATTGAGAGGATTTATAAGTAAAAGCGTTAAATCTTATTATAGCCTCTTTATGCCACATGTAAAGTAAACATAATGGTGTATCATAGGCATATTCGCAACATTTCCTGAGTGTACTGGAACCGTGAAGTAAATGGTTAGATGTGGGGGTGTTTGGTAAATAAGACAAGTCATATCAAAAGTCATTAAGCTGTACCAATAAAAGTGGCTTTGATATGTATTACACATATTGAGTTACTCTCTTTCATGATAAACAGTGTTTGGCGAATTAGGATTGTTTTGATTTGACACTAGTAACTAGTGTGATGCGTCTAGTCCTCTCTTTGGTGCAGACTGAACTCTATCAGTCAGGTTGTAATGTGGCCACCATTCTAGGTAGCTCGCCATCACGGTGTACACTGTGATGATATTAGATGGTTGGAGGCAATCGGCATGAAGCCTTGGACCTAGGTTCCGTGCTAGTTGGCACTCGTCAGCAAGGTGTATCTGCAACCTTGAAGGAACTGATGTCCCTTCTGAGATTCGAACCCGCGTCACCCAGTGCTGCAGTATCTGCAGGTTGCAGATACGCTTGCTGACGAATGCCAACTAGCACGACTAGGTCCAAGGCTTCCTGCCGATTGCCTCCAACCACCTAATATCATCACGAATTAGGATTGGCTAGAAAGGGACTAAAGGTAGTCTGATAATTAAGTGGAGTCTGTGTCATATGAAGAAGGATAGGTTATCAAGTTTTAGCTTGTGTACTATAGTGAATTGCATCATGAAATCTCCTAATGATATAAAATTCAAATAAACAGGAATTAAATCGTCTTAATTTGCGAAATAGGCCTCTAATAAGTAAATAATTGAAATCTTTGTCTTCAAAATGGAGTGGTACTGAGGTACCTGTTTACTGAATAGAAAATAAACTCTTGTGGTGGGATCTCAGTGTCCTTAGCCCAGTGTAATCAGAACTGTTTTGGATAAGATACATACTACACTGATTTATTTCACACCTGAGTATGTGATATATAAACTAAGTACTCAGACATTATCAGTACATTTTAGTTAATTCAATGGTGACCGGTAAGAATGCATGTGAAACATGCCTATTGTTCTAACCCTACTTCAAGGTTATTCATAATTGTTTGACCCTGCAACCACTTATCATAAGCCGTATGTGCGCATTGATTTAAAACCGTAAAAATCATGTTTTAATTTAGTCAAATTTGAACTTTCTGAACCATGAATTGTCAACAGTACAAGAAGACGGAGATGTTTCATCTGTTAAAATCTTAGTCAAATTATGGTATTCACTGGAATTGATGTTTCACCTGCACGCATTTTAGTGGAATTAAAAAAATCAAACTATTCAGGATTCTTCATTTTGGGAAGAGAAGTTACTGTTTAGTCAGTGCATCAAAATCCAATGATGTATGATTCTCAGTTCCTATCGCGAGTTGTTTTCGCACATATTATAGCAAACTTCACGGAAGATATTCCAGTTGTGTAAAAAATCTGATAAAGTGCCTTTACCCTATTCAGGTAGGTAGTTACCTGGGGTTCTAGTGAGAAGTCGTGACCAGTAGGGTGCAGCAGGTCGGGTGTGAGGACAAACACTCGCCGAAGACTTTGGCTAGCGGTAGCGCTATGTCGTGAATTGGCAGAAGTTAGAATTCATGGACTGGCCATTGGATCGGGTCCCAGTGGCTTAATGGTATACGAGCTCGCCTTGTAACCAGAAGGTCCTGGGTTCGATCCCCGCTGGTGGGTACGTACTGATGAAGAGTCCCAAACTAGGACGAAACAGCTGTCCAGTACTTCTTGGTGGGTTTTCCAATGGTTCTCTAACTAATGTCAGCTCATGATGAAATCCTGAAACCAATCAAATCCCTACAAACCAACACTTGAATGACTATAGCATTCTTCTAAGCACGTAATACAAAACTATATCAAACCAACCACCTGAAGAAATTCAAATCGTAATTGACCGCCTCCGATTCACTTATTCAAGTAGGTGGAGACGAAAGCCCACCAAATCTGTTTTTTCACTCTTTAAAATCAAAGTCCGTTATCTTTACGATAATATCTTCGTTCAGTTCTATAATATGCAAAGTCTCGTAAGTGTATTTAATGCATTCTTAAAAAATCACATGCATATAGAATATGAAAACTGGGTACATTACAGTCATATTGATTACCAACGTATTTTATTCACGTCTTGTCCTGATTACGTAATTAGTATCGATAGCGTACCAATTGACAAAATCATTCATTCGTTACTAAAATAGTTCACGCTTAAGTAACAGACTGTCTTAGTGTTAACAGTTTTTGTTTGTGTATTAGTTTTCTCATTTAAACTGGAGACTTATTTATTGGTATTTATCCCGTTAATTAACGCTTAAATTGACAGTTTTTTTTATTAGGTGACGTAATAGTAAAGCTTTTTTTCAAACAATATTCGTCAACGGCTAGGCGTGCACACTATGAAAGACTCATTTCATTTCTCTGAAAGTGTGAACCACATGAACATTTTAAATAAGTTCATGGTGTCATTTGATGTAACCTCCTTGTTCACAATGATTCCAATCAACGAAACTATTGAGATCATTTTTCAGCAGTTTGATCTTCTCCCACTCCCAGAGTTGGAATTCAAACGCCTACTGCTTATGTGTACCATGGATGTGCAATTCCAATTTGACAACACTTTTTACCGCCAAATAGATGGTGTAGCTATGGGCAGTCCACTTAGCCCTGTTTTAGCAGATATATTCATGTCCAACTTTGAAAGAACAAAGTTGAAGCATGCGATCGACGAAACAACTTCCTACTGTCGATATGTTGATGATACATTTATAGTGTGCAACAATGAAAGTCATGCTTCACACTTACTCAGATTATTCAATGATGCACACACCAATATTGAGTTCACTATGGAACATGAAAGTGACGGGAAGTTCCACTTCCTCGACATCGCCATGGAATGCCTAGAAGACGGTAGTCTTCAAAAGTCAATTTATCGGAAGTCCACATGGAAAGGACAATACTTACATTTTAGTAGCTTTTGTCCAAATAGCTTTAAACGCGGACTAGTCAAGACTCTGTACTATAGAGCGAAGAGAATATGCTCTATAGAGAAATTAGAGGAAGAATTTGATTTTCTTGAAAAGATATTGAAGAGCAATGGGTACCCTCAAAGGTTCATCAACAAGTATGGAAGATCTGAAGTCACAAATATAAAACAAATCACAGTGGGTAAAAAGCCAATCTGCATTCAGCTTGATTATAAAGGTGAAAACATTGCAGCGATGATCAACAGAAGGCTGAGTACATCACTAGCCATAGCCTATCCTGCAGCTAAGCTCGTCCCTGTCTATCGAACAACTTGCTCTTTTGGTGCAATCAAAGATCGATAGATATCCTTCTCATGTTAACTCCAACTGTATATACAAATTTACATGTATCTGCGGGAGCAGTTACATTGGAAGAACAGAAAGAAGGGCATATCTACGATGTAAATCAATAATCTGAAGTACATCATCAAGTTTTGCTGCATATGAAGAGAGAACCAATTCTGAACATTTTTTCTTCACTTCCTTCGAGAATTGCACAGCGTATAGTGGGAAACTAATTAAATATGCGTGCGAATTATTTGATATAATTTCACGATTAAAACAATAAGAAGTGCAGAAGAGTTTAGGTATTTCGATGGATGGAAATTTTCGTAACCCAGTGATTTA